TTATAAATTCTACACCAACTTCGACACGGGACCTCGGTGTATATGATCTTATTGGAAAGGTCAGTCTCCATGTACCGCAGTTGGATTCGAAACCGCGACATAAGGATACACTCCTTACTCCGCGACTCTAGTGTAAATGTTAACATTTCAACCACAGCGCCCTATACCCGATTATGGTATAAGTGAAAACATACCCATATGATACAAATACAGTTTTTTGAAGAGATTCATTCAAGAAAACAGACAACAATAAAGTTATATTTTACCATTGACTGTAGATTTCATGCAAGATTTTGATACTGTAAACCAAAAGAAAGCACTAAAAATGTTCATCTATCAGACAAACAAAATATAATTTTCTCAGAAAATTTATCAGCTGAACAAGTTTGTTTAAGACATTCTTGCAGCATGTTACATGTAATGCCAGTTGAATAATTATTATTTGTTTCACCTGCTTATCCCTTCAATAAACATTTCATTTGCGATATTTTTTTTTCAAGATTCAATTATTAAAAAAAAAAGAAAATATAAAAATAAACATTCTGAATTGTTTTTATAGGGTCAAATGCTGACTGTCGATTTCATTCTAATTGTTAGTCCATTATTTATGCAGTGAGTTGACGACGTTATTTTCCTATCATGACAAGGAGCACACAGAGGGTGTGACCGATTCGCAGGGGATTATCGATCCTCCATGGCATCTGATTCCTTCTCTAATGTTTTTTATGTTCATGAATGCTTTGCTCCAATTTTGTACTTTATCACGATCATGAAAAAAGGGGCACACGAAGGGTGTGACTAGTCGGAAGGGGATACTCAGTTACTCACTTCCCCGAAGCACATGATCCCACCTCTATCCTTGGTGTTTGCTCTGCACCAATTTTGTAATGTTTCATGTACTTTTGAGCTTGAATACCATCTTCGTATATTTCATGAATGGACCATTAGGCACCTGCTGATACTTGAAAACTGAGCAATGGCGATTATAAACTTGATACCTTACTTAAAAGCATATTAAGTAGATAATAACGACACAAGATATTTATTCAATACAAAAGTCGTGAATTGGTATAAAATGGTTTTTGTTTAAACCTTACGTCTTCCTCATCTGATTGATTCTGTCCAAGAATAGATACCATTTGACAGATCTGATACTGATCTACTGCATCCGATGTTCACTATCTATTTTAAATAGATAATGAAAAAAAGAATATAGACATCAAAACTATTTTATATGCAATGATAAAAGTATCCTTCCATCATGAATATACTTTTAACTTTTTAAGAGAACATTTCAATGCTGTCCAGGATATCATAAGGAAAACGGCACCTGTTAAGTAAGGATCCCTAAAATATTGTGGTTAACTTTAGGTAATTTAGTTAAAGGTACTTGGACAAAGATTTGAAGTCAATATTTTCTCTATAATATTACGACTTATATATTTTAATAGCATTTCACACAAAAATTAATTAAAAATCTTATTTCATTTAAAAGTTATTAAAACTTCAAATTTTTTGGCGGGTTTGATTGACACATCCTTGCACTTTCACAAATTTTAACTTTATTCTTAATCCTTATATAGGAAAAGGGGCAATCTTGTTGTGTATTAATGAGAAATATTAAAACGTTTATCCAGAAAAATAATTTTATTCAGAGTAGAGATATAAGAAAGCAAAACTCCTTCATAAGTATCGTCATTTCGAACTAAGAGTTGCGTACAGAGTTTAGCAAATCGAGCACACCCGTGTTATGTACACAGTTTTTGTAAAAAGGGCACGGGTTCTGTTATTGTTTATGTTTAGAATTTACTGGGTGCGTTCAAACGTCACAGTCTGCTTACCACAACTGCACGGACTGACAATATATTGTGTGTTTGTTTAGTTTTCGAACATGTCTACTCTGAATTTTCTGGATTATAGTATTAATATTTTTCATTTATACAAAACAAGATTGCCACTTTTCCTAAGGATTAAGAATAAAATTAATTTGTAAAAATGCAAGGATGTGTCAATCAAACCCGCCAAAAAATTTTAAATTTTAATATCTTTTGTATGAAATAAGATTTTTAATTAATTTTTGTGTTAAATGCTATTTAATTTTATAAGTCGTAATATTATAGAGAAAATAATAACTTCAAATCTGTGTCCAAGTACCTTTAAGGTTTCGTCAAATGTCAACATGTCTAAAACATTATTTTTACAATATATCCAAAACTATGTGTGGTATATCGTCAAAACGTTTACAGTTTATAAATATATCATTGATTAATAGACAAAAGTATCACTTGATAACAAATATTGTAAAAAAGATTCCTTTTTAGAAAAATTTTATCAGAAAATGTGCATATTTTTTTTTCAAAAATGCACCTGTTTAATTCCGTCCTTTTTGTGAAAACCATCATTACAGAAATAATATATGTTTATCATTGAAGGGCAATTTGAACGTGAATGGTCTCTGAAAAGCTGTTATTGAAAGCATGACATGAATAAAGACAAGACCCCTATAGAATCGGCCATTTGCAATGTACTTTCACTTTCAAGTCTTAACATTTGGACAAAATAAACAGGGAAAACAACTTTCCATAGACAATCCAAGTCCAACTTGCCCTTCATTGATAAACATATTTTGTTTCTGCAATTATAGTTTTCACTAAGAGCACGTAATTAATTAGGTGTATTTTTTCAAAATATATGCATTTTTAAAAAGAATTTTTCTCAATTAATGTTTTTTCCAAGTATTTTTTTTATCAAGTGATACTTTCTATCTGATAAGCAATCAAAAATTTATGAACTGGAAAAGTATTAACTTTATACCTCACATAGTTTTGGGGCTATCTTAAAAATAATTTTTTGAACATGTTGACCTTTGACGAAACCTTAACTATAGCTAATCAAAGTGTTCAAAGTGATCACTATAGCCAATCAAATTTTTCAAAGTTCTCAACAGTAAATCAAAGTGTCAAAGAGATCACTATAGTCAATCATAGTTTTCTGAGTGATCATATTATAGTGTCATAGTTATCACTACTGTAAATCAAAGCTTCCAAAGTTACCACTATATTGAATCAAAGATTTTCCCATAGCTAATCAAAGTTTATATAGTGATTACTATAGTTAATCAAAGTTTTCATAGTTATCACTTAAGTAAATCAAAGTGTCAAAGTAATCACCATAGAAAATCAAAATGTTAAAGCTATCACTAAAGTAAATCAAAGTTTTCATAGTGTCAAAGTTAACACTATAGTTATATAGTTAACTATTGTAAACTATAGTTAACTATGTAATATACTATTTTTGTTAAGGATACGGTAATTATATACAATAAGATATTGTATACACAGGTAAACTTCATAAAGTGATACGTACATAAAGGCCTACTAGAACTCATTGTATTGTGTAAAGCAATGTTTGACATAATTATTATCTAATTAATTACGTATCTTCTAAATGAGTTTACTTTCCAGTATGTTTAAGGTCATTTAAAGCTAACTGTGTTCATTCTTACAATCCAGATCATTGTGGACCACAGTGTAGAATCAAATACAGGTGTTCTGGCAATGAATGTAATAAAATACTTGGTTGTCCCAAAGGTTAAATAAATAATGAAAGTGATTCTCTTTTCTTTTCAGAATTTTCACTTTCATAACACTCATTTTCCCTTTAGTCTTTATCCAAGTCATTACAAATTATAGAAACTGTTAAAAGAAAAGAGAATATATTCAAAGAATACATGTACTCGATAGTGAACACAATGGTCATTATTCTAACTTTTATATTGGTTGTATATTGGCTTGTGGCCCTCAAAGTAAGTATCAATGAAAGACAGTTGACATATAATCAGAATACATCTAAATCATTTATAAAAAAGCAAATACGACATGTTTTGAAGATTTTAAACTTTTATAAGGAGAAATTTCGATATTCTCTGAAACCCCTTTACATTAATATATTCAAAATTTTATATTTGCTAATCACACGTTTTCGATAAAAAAAAAACTCTATTAAAATACCCAAAAATGGCATAAGTTCACTTACTTTGTCATTAGTTATTCTCAAAATTATTTTGTTAAAAGATATTTGGATAGGCACGACTTTGATGTCCTCTTGGCTAATATCCCAAAGGTTTTTCAAGGTTTTATCGCCAAACGCAGCCCTCTCTGTAGCCATTCTTTTGAAAGCAGTCCTTTGCCTTGTCTAGACACAGAAACAGTGCAGCTCATGTGACTGTATTTTCTATACACAAACCTGGTTTTCAGAGATCTTTGATAGCTCTGATCATAATTTGTTAGAATGGACTTTTGAGAATGGCCACTGTTTGTTTTATTTATATTACATTCACAATTATTTTTGTCTATAAGATATATTATTCACTGAAATATTTTCTGCATGTTTATTGAAGAAGTTCGTTTTAACTATTTTAGTTTTATTTATGTTTTTCAAACTGTATGTTGGGTTTGAATATGGATAATTAACTTGATACTTATTATTTCGCCCAAATAGCCTAAATCATGAAATTAAGAACGAAATGGTGAAATGAACACTTATTGCTCTTCAATTATTGCATATAATTTTGGACTGAAATTTCTTCTTACAAAAGTGGAATATCGTGAATTATACTTGCAACAATAGGGAAACGAAATTTCGTCCAATAATGAAAGACCATTCATTGGACGAATAGAGTTTATTAAGAATCCTCTTAAACATGCATATACGTTTATTTCTATAAATTCTGATCGTGCACATTTAGTTTATCTGTCTCACTAGTATATAAATTTTAAATAGTGCATTAGGAATAGTACTATGGGTATGAATTTAGCATATATAAGTTTAAGACTCTTCTGCATCTATTTACAAATAATAAGAGCTTTTTCTGAGAAAAACATTTGCGGAATAACCAAGTAAGTTTCCAATTTAACTGATCATTGATATTTTAAATAATTTTGTAATTATTTTTTACTGAGATTTTTTTCTACCATATTTTACTTTTCAGTGAAACACAGGAATGCTGCTCTGGCTTTTATAAAGAGAATAATACGTGTCATGGTAGTACATGTATATGTTCATGATAAATTTCAGTTTCAAATGATTACAAACCATGCATGATTGAATGATTGCTGTATCTCACCAGAAATCGAATGATTTTTCAACTTCGATTACTAAAAGAGTTTTCCAAAAAAAAAAAAATTGATGTTTTCAATGTTTAAACATGATGATAATTCTTTACTCAACAGAATGTGTAGGATCATTTGGTTTCAACTGTTCAGATCCGTGTCCTGAAGGTTATTATGGACCACTATGCCACCTCAAATGTTCTTGTTCCGCCAGTGAATATTGTCACAGCAAATTGGGTTGTCTAAAGAATCAAAGTAAACTTTCTAAAAAGTTCTTTGTTCTCAATTTTGTAGTTAAAGTTTTTTTCTTTTTTGTACAGGTGTTCAAAATTTTCAGAAAATGCCAACTTTATGTAAATCTGCTGACAATAGTTTAACTCTGTTTGATACGAAGAAACAAAAATAAGATTCTGTGAATTGAAAAATGCCATTTATTTACATTATAAATAACTATATGAAAAAACACAGAATGTCATGCATGTAAACATATAATGCAGAATCAGAAAAATTTAACAACTGAAAGATACAATCAATTTTGTTCCAATAGATATCAAAGGTTGGGTATAACTCACGGATAAGGATTTTCGGGATTTAGAAACTTAATTGCTAACAAGGGTCTGCCGTGTCAGATTTTTTACATAAATTAATTTAAGGATGTAAATTAAATATTTTTCAAAAACCTGACGTTACGTCACTGGGTAGTCTTCGCCGTGGTTGTTGTTTTAATATTGGTGGTGATCGCTTGTTACATCGTGTCTCCTAGCAGCAGACGTATCAGGTAAAAACTCTGAACTCTATGCAAATATGTTTTTATCCCTTTTATGTATTACAATTTTCTGAACTTTTAAGACTTCAGTTGTAGAAAATTCAGTGTTAAACTGCATGGTAAAAAACTTTCTCTGGTATATGAAAGGACAAAAAGATGATAAGAAGACTTTTAATATAAGATGCAGTAGCCGTCTGGTACGAAATATTTGGACAGACAAACTAAACCACGCAGTGAAAATTTACGACAAAGATTTTAATTACTTCTTGTATTATATGCATTTCTCAACAGAACTATTTTTTTTAATAAAACAAAGTATCCAATAACCATATTTTTTTGTTATTCCTGGTTCATTATTTGCCATTCAACATTACAAACAGTCCTGTATGACATTGGAATGTCAATATTTAAGATCTACATAAACCATACGATTATACATTTGCTCGATTTATGCTAAAATACAGGACCCTTTAGGTAAATAGGGTTAACATAGGATTAAGGGGACGAAGGATGTATGGTCACGTGACTCAGTTTAATTACGTCATAATCTCTGATAAATATGTACAAAACCAGATTGAAACCACAATATTTGTAAAAAAAAAATTACTGTTTGTTTGAGTTCACCATCTTGTATAAAAATATCTAAAAACATTCAAACTTTCTTGCAAATATATTCAAATTTCGGAATAGATTGATCCACTCTTCTGTTTCCCTACACTGCGCGTCCAACGAGTCGCTGACGTCATAGTGGATCTTAGTACAGTAAGATTATGTACAAGGTAAAACACAGATAGTATAATATCATAAAAACGGGTCATGATCAGTACATGGAGGGATATGTTATGAATTACAGAACACAAAAAATATTTTTACATGATTGTTGACGGAAATATTTTGTAGTTATGTCTTACTTCGGTTATTTCGCAAATGTGTGACGTCATAGTAGGGTTTTCCCGTACTCGAGAAATGTAAACAAGACACGTTTTTCTCATGCTCATGTCTTGTTTAACTTTGCCCTGTGAAATATTGAGCTCAGCTTCAACAATCGATATTTTTGCAGTTAATCAATAACATGACGAACTTGCATTTCGACGTAAATTTTCAAAAATTGAATGATAGGTTTTTTTGCAAATTAATTTTTTTGTTGTTTAAGTTGTCTAAAAAAGTACGCAATTTTCCGTCTCCAGATGCGATGTGACAAAAGAATCTTGCTTTTTCGAATTTTTAACCATATTCATACTCTGAAGTATTTTAAAAGACACATTTTCGCTGACATATTTTTTTATCTATGCTGAAAAAATTCCATTGTGGACCGAGTAATGGACCCATAAACACGGAGAATCAAAACTTCATCAGACACTGTGAGGCATAGTATTTGTCAATCAATATCTCAGAAATAAATCTAGAAACTTATTGATATATCTGCTTTAAGGTATGTGTGGCATACTAAATAAGAGATATAAAAAATATGAAAAAAATTGAATGACAGGTAATTTTTCAGCTAAAGGTCCTTCATCCCCTTAAAATGATATATGTTTTAGTAATAGATACCGTACTTTTTAAGAGGGGAAACGCATATATAACAAGAAATAATACCAAACGCGAGCAAAACAAATCGCGGTCAATTGAAGGTTTTCGCAATGTTTTGATCTAAAGTTCTCTGATTTTTCTGTCCAGTTTTTTCTCAGCTACAGAACTCATTTCTGCAGATAAATTAATATAAGATTTCTGTTTAAGAAAAAGGCAACGACCAAAAAGAAATAACTACATTGACCAAACTTTTCCCCAGCCAGCCAGTGAATATCTAGGCATGAATGTAACAACATGTGCATCAGCTGCATTTCCAGTGGTTTCATTCCAAACAAAGCCATTTGAAACTACTATTACTTACTATGATTGCATTTGATGAAATCATATATGAATCTAAGACGTATTACGCCTATTTTTTGAAATTCCTTTTTGTAACGCTTTGCACAGATTTTTGCAATAATGAAAGTAGTTTCACAGTCAAATATATACATTGAAGCTAAGTAGATTCTTTTAATATATATATCCTATTTTCTGCTGTTTTGTCTTAAATTGTCGTAAAATTAAATCATTCCTATCATACTCGCTTGTTAAGTTTCCTACTCTTGTGTCTTGAATGTGTATACCGTTTGACTGTTTGATTGATAATGTATTTTATATATTATTAGATACCAGTATACACTTATTTAATGACTACGAGGTAAACAGTCAAACAATAGTTTGACTGTTTACCTCGTAGTCATTAAATAAGTGTTTTATTACCTAACCTACTATATAATAAACTAAATTGGAATAAAAACACACAAACAATCAATAAAGAGTTTTAACAACTGTTTATCCACATACCAGTCTATTAATTATCTGAACACAGAATGTAAAGATTAAATTAATATTTAATAATTTTAATTAATACTTAATAAATTGATTGTTCGTGTGTTTTATTTCAATTTAGTTAATAATATAGCAGGTAATAGTGATGTCGTGATCATCAAAACTTGAATATCACGACGACGCTTTAAACAGGTAATAGTTCATTCTGTGGCCCGGTCAACAGTTCGACTGTTTTATGATCACACAAAAACATAAAATGAATCGTGAAACAGTTCAAAATGCCTAATTACATTTTATATAGTAGGTTAGGTAATAATATATCCTGTTAAATGTCGGATTGGTTGTATCACATATTTGGTCTATAAAAACTCTATATATGTATCAATATCCTTCATGCTTTAAAAACAATAAAATGTTAACATCATTAGTTTTTTCCATAAAATAAGAAAATAGAAATGTAGGAAATCTATATACATGTATCATTAATGATTTTAAAAACTGACAGGTAATTCATAATATGAATAATAGATTTTGACCCGCAGGCCAAAGTCCAGTAAATCTCATGCATCAATATATGTTCACGTGTAATACATTGCAGGAAAAACAGGAAACATACAGTTAACCCCCAATAATATTCTTCCGTCCCAGATATTCTCAGGTCATTTGTTTTCCACACATTTCTGTCTAATTCTAACACTGATAAAATTAGACTTAGGAAAAATATTTTTTAACATGTAGATAGAATATAATATATTATGGAGACAGCGAACAGTATTCAAGATCAAACGTCCATAAAACAATACAAAACAGGAGCAGAGCAAACATGGACCTCCACAACATCAGAAATGGGATCAGTTGGAGGACTAAGCATGGGATATCATGGATTTCAGTGTCACAATATGTATTTATAAAAGCATGTATAAAAATCATGAATTAAAGCTTAATGACCTATATATATTTCCAGTAGAAAATATTTTTAATTTGACAGAAAACTACAGCTGTATGTTTATTGCACATATAAAATGTTGCTAAACTGGATTTAGATAGCAAATTGCATTGCATGATCGATTATTTGCAACATTATTTTTAAAAAATTGAACACTTAAGTACACTGCTTTTTGATACTGAAAAGATCGTTATGTTTCTGATATCTTTGTAGTTTTTGGAGATGATATCTTCCAACAATTTTGCGGCTTCTCATTGTGTGTCGTAAGGACCAGACTTATCCATGTAATAACATGACGAAGAATGTATTCAAAACCTTATACATGAGCCAAATGACATTGTATCATTCAGTGAACATCCGAAAAAGGAAATCACTCCACATACACCAACCACTTATGTAAATAAGTCGTTCCAGTCTATTGGGAATGTTTCATTTGGTGAAAATTTACGAAAGCATGACATATCATATGCGACAACCAAATATGTTAACGTGCCCTACCAATCAGATTCGATTGACAAAGTATCAATCAGTGATTATTTAAAAATGGATTTTACACCACATGCATCTACCGAATATTTGAATGTTTCATTTTAGCCAGATTCAAATCGGCAGAGGATGCTTACTCAATAACACATGTATCCTTCTCTGATGTTTAAGATGTCGAAGGTTCTTGTTTTTTCTGCTCATGATTTTGTATTGTATGAATAGACTAATTAGCTCTATTTTGAAATAAACTTATGTTTTTGACTTCTACAGTGTTCTTGTACACAACAATAAATTATAATCTAGACCTTTTGATATTAAGACAACTACTTCTTCAATAATAAAAGTATAACTCAGAAGGTTTTGAATCTTGTGATTGTTCATAAGCAAAATTACTTTGTTTGATAGTTTATTGAAAGAAATGTAAAAAGGATGCTTGAGTTCCTCACAGAGAACGATTTTGTAGTCTTAGGAGAGCATTTTTCCCGACAAACTGTTAGAAATGCCAAGGGCACTAATTGTGCTCCTTCATAAGCTTTACTCTTTTTATATTATCTATGAAGCATAATTTATTCTTAACCTATTACATGAGATGAGAAAATCCCTTAAGCTTGCTATTGCTATAATTTCGATTTTCAGATATATAAAGATGTTTTATTAATTAACAATTGTTATTTTCATTCATATATCGATTCGATATACATCAGTGATCTTGTAATAAATGACATCAAAGAGTCATCCAAATCTGTTTCATATTTTGTTGTATGTTTTACTGACTATAGACGATAAAGGACAACCAAACTACAAGACAAACAGAATGACTTTAGAATTTCCAACTGGATGTAAACATTCCACTATCACCTGTTTACGGTGTTTATGTCTCCCAACCTATTCGAACTTCCTTTAAAAAGACCATTTTTAAAGGCATGCTTCTCACTAACAAGTTGATATTACAGGGATTTCACTCCCCACGTTTAAAGTCAGCATTTCGTAAACTCCATGGTCAATATCATGACCTTGTAAACAAATGACCCATCATTGGATCGTATTTTCGACTTGTTGTTTCAAATGTTCGGACTTTGTTTTTGAAACTAGATTCAACAACGAAATGTATCCTAGATAAATTCATAGGTCTCGCGGCGGGTGTGTCAGGTCAAAAGGGAGTGCTTACTCCTCCTAGGCAAGACGCTATCAAAACACGGATTAATGGTAGAGAAATGGTTGCTTTACTATTTAAACAAATGACTTTGGCAATGTAAGCGTAAATTGTAAATCACTACAAAGCCTCGGAATGCTCAATGTACATGCAAGATGACTCTCTCGTCTGCTTAAAGAATGAATTCGAAATTTCGGGAATAGTGTGGGTTTATTTTACTTTTTCCGTGGATTATCAAATTAAATGATTCTTGACGTAACAATAGGGACACTTTGAAGCTATAATCTACATGTTTATGCCGTAGGGTTGTACCAACTACATGCATTACATAATAAAATTCGAGATTTTGTGTAATTGAGCATTTTTCTTTGAAATTTGCTATATATCTCAAAATTGTAAAAATGAAGCAAAATGTTAAGGAAATTAATTCTGGAATGGAAACACCATTTTCGTATAGCATGACTCTTGTCACGATTCCAAAGTGTTTTAATTAAGATTGTCTATGACTTCGTCACTTTTTAATTGTTGCTAATTTCTGATTTTCTCTATCAAAATCTTAAGACTTGTGTGAAACCCGAGTATATCTGCTTATAATATTGAATAATTAGATACATTTCCGCCAAATTATCACTCCATCCCTCTTTATATTTTATAGATCACTTTGACTGTCCTCTTTAAAATGCATTCAAGTATGTTTATAATTGCACACATGCTGTTTTTAAAATTAATTCTATTTCATATATATACTCAAGAACATCGCTCTAAAGTGAAGGAATTTTGCCCTGAATGTTATACATTTTAATATTTATGATATATTATCTTACCTCCATTTGACTGGCTTGACATCGGATAAATTTCCTTACTATAGGGATAACTAATTAGGAATTATAGGTCACAATTAAAAGATATTTAGGTATCTTGTTGATTAAAGACGAGTTAAGTTGTAAGACAACACAATTGAGAAATACCCTCGAAAAAACAGTTTTACTACATTTCTTTTTCATTTCAGTATATTCGACCTCTCCTGTCCTAATATCATAACCGGGGGTTATGATATTAACAAAATTTAATCTAAGCAAAGTAATGTAGTTTCCACATAAGTTTCATCTTTTCTCCCCTGAGAAGAAGTTATGTAAAAGATGCCACCAAACCTTTATAAATTCTACACCAACTTCGACACGGGACCTCGGTTTATATGATCTTATTGGAAAGATCAGTTTCCATGTACCGCAGTTGGATTCGATCCCCCGACGTAAAGATACACTCCTTACTCCGCGACTCTAGAGTCAACGTTAACGTTTCAATCACAGTACCCTATATGCATTTATGGTATAAGTGGAAACAGTGATACCAATAAAGTTACTACACGAACTGTATTCGCATTTTTCTGAAGAGATTTATTCAAGAAAACAGACAACAGTAAAGTTATATTTTACCATTGACTGTAGACTTCATGCAAGATTTTGATACTGTAAACCAAACGAAAGCTCTAAAAATGTTTATCTAACAGACAAACAAAATATAATTTTCTCAGAAAATTTATCAGCTGAATAAGTTTGTTTAAGACATTCTTGTAGCATGTTAATCGAATAATTATTGTTTATTTTGCGTGTTTATCCAATCAATAAACATTTCATTTGCGATATTTTTTTCAAAATTTAATTATTTAAAAAAAATGAAAATATGAAAATAAACGATCTGAATTTATATACTTTTAGAGGGTCAAATGCTGACTGACGATTTCATTCTAATTGTTAGTCCATTATTTATGCAGTGAGTTGACGACATTATTTTCCTAACATGACAAGGAGCACACGGAGGGTGTGACCGATCCGCAGGGGATTATCGATCCTCCATGGCATCTGATCCCATCTCTGATGTTTTTTTTATGTCCATGTTTGCTTTGCTCCAATTTTGTACTTTATCACGATCATGAAAAAAGGGGCACACGAAGGGTGTGACTAGTCGGAAGGGGATACTCAGTTACTCACTTCCCCGAAGCACATGATC